GTGTTTTGAATCTGTGCTGCCATGTAGTATGCTCAGAAAAGCCTTTAATGAGGCCTGTTCTTTGTCTGTGTTCACTTTTCAATGGGATATTAAGAACAATCAATTCTGTGATTTATTCTGTTGTTACAAGTTGTATGTTAATGTTATTTCTCTTGAGACATGAGTCTATGCTGGTTGAATGAAAACAAAAATAATTTGGGATCTTGCATCATCTGCCTCTTACTTTGCGATCAAAATTGGGGATGCTCAGAATCTTTCTTTACCCAAGCAGGGCCATTCAATCCTTTCAAGAGGCTATGAACTTTGGAATGGGAAGTTGTAGAATTGTCTGTTCTTTCAGATATTGCTTTCATTTTGAAGTAGAAGAATGATGAAACAGCCCAGGAAAATACTGTTTGCTCTGATTTTACTCAAGCAGTGCTCTTTAGGTAGTGTTAATAGAAGTAGAATAAAGGTTTGATCTTATTTTATTGATAGCAATGGAAAAGAGATGTTGTGTAGGTGTGAACTGTGATTTTATTTTTGTCATCTACCTCGTGGCTTGGAAAGGGAAGGAACTAGAGAATGGTAAGTAATTGATGTTCTTCTTGGGGGTTTTTTAGTGTTTCCTTTTGCTTTACAGAATGGTACCATTTCTAAGAAGGGTCCCTGGGACAGTTAGTTATATTAATGGAAAATCATACAAAAGAATGGTTTCACTGTTTCAAAAAATACTGTTTGTTTCTTACCTTACGTTCTTTCTTTTTTTTCTAAATATGTAGCTGCTGCTGCTCAGGAAGGCCTTCTGTTGTTGTAGTGTTTCTATTTTTTAAATTAAAAGTCTCTTTTCCATGCGAAAGCACTGGAAAGGGAGTTGGATGGAGACTGGCAGTGGGAAGGTAGTTGGAAAAAGTCTTGTGTTAGTTTGAAGCAGAGGTGGCAAGGATGGTTAAGATCTGTGAGAAGAAACTTTTATTTACATCACTCCTAAATGTTTTAGAATATCTTGATGGGAGGAGGTAATTAAGGAGGGGTCCAGTAAAAGTGGACTTGACAAAGTCCATATGAGAGGAATTCTAATACAATCTGTGCCAAAACTGGGTTGCAGTTAGCTTGAAACATGAACCTGAAGCGTATGTGTCTCTGCAATTAAGATGTCTTCTGCTGTCAGCAAATAGTCTGTGAGAAAGCTGATTTGTTGTAGTTCACTGAATGTGTCTCAAATAGATTACTTTTTTTTTTCTAGGGGAAATGCACCAAAATTAAACTTGGGAGGCAGTACCACAACTCAAGCTACAGGTATCACAGGAGGCTTTGGGTTTGGTGGCTCTGCACCAACTAGTGTGCCCTCAAGTCAAGCAGCAGCTCCATCTGGCTTTATTTTTGGCTCTACTGGTACTACCACCACCACTACCACTCAGTCTGGGACAACTGGAGGGTTTAATTTTTCCAGTGGCAGTGCGACTCAGGCAGGAACGCCCAGCTTCAATATCAGCACTGTAAGCAATGCAACCCCACAAGCAGCGCCCACAGGGTTGACCTTTGGAATAGCGCCTGCTGCTGCAGCTGCCACCACTGCTGCCACCCTAGGAGCAACAACACAGCCGGCAACTGCCTTCAGCCTTGGGGGACAGTCCTCGGGTAAGTGCCTGGGCTGGAAATGCAGGCTGTAATGGGGAGGCCTGCCAACATAGAGGGCACCTGGGGGAGGGTGGAGTGTGAGGTTCTGAAGCCCCCTTCAGCTTCTGGTGATGTGAAATGGAATTGGTGATTGTGATTGGTATTTCCTTTAGATGTTTATCCAGGGTCTCCAGTTAGGAGTAACACTTACCGTTTAGGCTTTGGCGGGCTGTTTTCATGGGAAATAGCTGTCTCTAAACTCATATGTTTTTGAACATATATTGAACTCTGCCTATCAATCAAATGCTTTTTTTTTTTGAGATCATTAAGATAATGTGGGCACAAAAATGCACCCATTAGGACCTAAGCAGATATGCCTGCATCCTTTTGTTTCTTAACCCTGCAGCAATTGGCAGAGTTTGTATGTATGTCTAAATGAACTGAGTGAGTGTGTCACCTGGCTAGGTCAATCTGGTGAAGCAAAACACCTGTTTATGTGGGGAAGTTTCTCAGAACAGCATCTTGTTCTAGCTGGTTCTTGTGATATTTGATCTTAATGCTGAAATGAAGTAGCTTATAGTCTTGCCTCCTTAAATTCTGAATGGCCAGTCTTTGTTTTGTGGCTGTGTATGTGAATTTGAAACTATGGAGGGGATAAAGGTAGACAGATGCAGTGTAAAATGGCACAGAAGGAAAATGACTGAAGAGGTAACAGTGGATTCTCTCGTGTTTCAATTTGCCTTGCAGGATTTTGAATGACTTTGTTGTTAGTACTTTTTGGGCTGTTGTGGGTAGGGCTTGAGCATTATGGATAGGGACTCTTGAGTGGTGTTTGAGAAATATTATTTAAGGGGTTTGGAGACTGAGGCAGAAATAACCTGCCACTGAACAGAAGTGTCAGTTACATTCAAAGTGTTTGGAGAATATTTTTGGTGGATTTGGTGGAGAGGCCTAGAGGCAGGGTAGGGAGTGGTAGGAAGGGGAGGGCCCTGCCCAGGGTGCTGAACTCCTGCTAAACCAAGGAAACACATCTGTCTTTTGCAAAAGTCCAGCAAAAACTCAGGCTGCAACTTTCAATTTACTTGTTGGTGATAGTGCAAGCCTCAGGAAGAATCATCAGTCTGCAGTGAGGGCTGAGGTTAGAATTGTTTTTAATCTATTGCAAAATTGTCTTTTAAAATCTTTATGTAACAAAGGAACTTGCTAGCTCTAGTTAATTTCCTTGATAGTGCAGGTTATTTGTTAGACTGAATATTAATATTTTCCTAATAGATATTCTTATCTCTACTAACTTGAATAATGCAGTGATCAGTCTCTCTGTAGCAACAGGTTCGTCTTTTCTTGTTCTTTTACTTATGCTACTTCTTGTTCCAGGTCTAAACTTTGGATCATTGACTTCAACAGCAGCCACTAGCGCACCCACGGGAACGCTGACTGCTAGTACAAGCCAGGCACCCACTCTGTCATTTGGAACCAAACTTGGAGGTAGGAAATGATTTGAGAAGTAATGGCTCAAAGTGTAGAGAAGCTCCTGCCTATCTCGATTTTAGTTCTCTCTAGTGGAGTCTGGAAATGGGCTGGATATATTTGTTAGTGTGAATTTACAGTGGCATCAGTAATCTGTGGAAGTTCACTGAACTATCTTATCTAATATACTAGATCTTGTACTGTCCCGTGTGCAGAACGGTGTTCTGCAGTTCTTTGCAGGCAGGGCATTATGGAACAGAAGCACAAGCAAGTGCAAAGGGTACTTAGGAAAAGATAGAATTGAGGAAGAGTACAGGGAAAAAGTTTAGAATTCTCTTGCACCTATTAAAAAAACAGCATAAACAGACAAACTTGTATCGTGTTCTCAGCTTGATTCTTCTGAAGTGTGTTAGAGCCTGACAAGGATCTGCTTGTATGAGACTTATGCCTGTTCTGTTTCTAGTAACATCCACAGCTTCTACAACTGCTGCTACCACCACAACTTCCCTTCTTGGTTCAACTGGGCCTACACTGTTTGCATCTATAGCAAGTTCCTCAGCACCAACCTCATCATCCACCACCACAGGCCTCTCACGTAAGTTACCACTTACAGAATTAATATATTGGAGGAATAATTGATGAGGACACTTGTTAGTATCTTGTCAGTAATGAAGCTTCAGATGCTCTTGTAATATAAGACCATTAAAACATTCGGCTGTTCTTGATGTTTGTCACCTTCCCCTCGTGTTTCATGGCAAACTTTCTTCAGTGGTTAGTTATAGAAACAAAACAAAGCATATTTAATTTCACAGTGGGCAGGCAGAGAGTGGCGAGAGTGGCAATTGTAGCTGTATGTTCATTTGGGGGGGGGAATGTTACCACAGCTGAGCTTTCTAGTGGTGCATTAGCTATGTTCTAGACAATGCCATGAGTCATGTTAAAGGCAGATGGAAGTCATGCTTTGACTCTTATGTTAGATGTTGACACCCCATCTTTAGGAGCGGAGTGGCTTGTGGAAGTAGAGATGCAATGCGATAAAGCCAAATATTCACACAGCTGTATATTTGCAAGTTCCTCTGGCAATAACAGGCATGTTTTTTGTTGCAAACTGATTTTTTGTGGCAGGAAATATTCTGTCTTCCAGTGACTTTAGGTAGTATGTAGGGTTTGGTTGGAGTCCTAATAGCTTTTGTTTCCAACCTATAATGAGATGTTTCCGTCTGTTTCAACCTGCTTAGATGAAACACTTCAGTTTCCTTTGGTTATGGAGATTAGCTACAGCAAAATGGCCAAAAAAATCAATGCTTAGCAGAGCTGTTATATAGCTATTTCATACTATAATACTGTCTTACACCCAGCTCTGAGAAGTTAGGTAGCTACTCCCAAGGACCTTCAGCAGTTTTATGTGTAAGCCATACTCATTAGTTTTTGAGTATTCACTTGTAGCTTGTAGAGATCTTTCATACATGCTTAATAAATTGCTGAATTTTTCAGTAGCTCTGCAATGGTTGAATTTTTACTCTAGTTCACAAACTAATTTTAAATTTTGTATTTAAGAATGCTTTTAAGCCTTTGGGCGTACTCAGTGTATCAAGCTGTCTGAGCCATTATTTGTATGTGGTAATAGGTAAGCTGTTTCCTGGCAGTGAAGAAGTAACCAGCATGCTTTCTGTAGTGTATGAAATTGTATTGCTTTAACAAGTATACTCATGCAGACTACCCTTATTTTTGATAATATCTGAGAAGCTAATCCTTCAAAGGTGGCGTTTCATATCTGCCAGCATCCAGTATCATCTGCTTATTTTGGCAGTTGATAGCAGTTAAGTGTGGAATACTTTAAAATAAGTGAAGAGAAATGGTGGTAGCTTGGTATCTGAGTTGACAGAACTTCCTGAATGGATCACAGAGCACTCTGGCTATTTTATAGTTTCAGTATGCCTTTCTTCATGTAGTGCTGGCACGCTCCCTCACTTAAATGGTGATCATTGCTAATGCAAATAAAGATCAAGGGGAGATGGGAAGAGCATAACTTTTCAAAGGGAGCGCTTATGTAATAGGGTAATCTTACTTTTATCATCTGTTTACAGTTGGTGCCTCTTCCACTGGCACAACCAGTCTTGGAACTCTTGGATTTGGATTAAAAGTTCCTGGAACAACAACTGCAGCATCAAGCACTGTGACTAGTAAGAACCAAATGCTGTAAATAAACACTGACTTCAGTGCTCTGTAGTAGTAAAGAGCCATGCTGATGTAGCAGCACAGAAATCCTAATTTCTAATTCCCTCCAGTAACTGAAAGTAGCACAACACATGTTTGGTGTTTGATCCTCCTTTTCCGTCCCCCAAATTCCATTACAACTTCTGAGAGTCTGCGTCCGCGGTAAAGAGACCTTGGGCGAGGACCTTTAGGACTTTGTTCTGATTTGGAGTAAGTCAAGTAAAATAGATTAGTTACTGCTCTATCCCTCCTGTGTAGTCATGGAGTGGATTTAAGAGGCTAGGGAGAGATGTGTCTATGGTGGAAGGGAAAGAAGGCAGAGGTCAAGACTTGTGGAAGGGTTAGGGAGAGCTGTGTCTTTTTCCTCTGTTTCCATTCTGCTGTTTCTCCTGTCTCAGATTGAAGGATTTCACTGACTTCTCTCCTCTAAAATGCAAAGAGAAGTGCTGTGTTTAAATGGCAACCCTCATGTGAAAACTGGCAGTGGACTTTGCTGTTACATAGTGTTGAGATTCAGGGATGAGCATCCTTTTCTGGCCACAGTTACCCATGTTTCCAGTGTTGTAACATGGATGCTGCCCAGCTCTCAGGATCTTTTTAAAGCTTGTTTCTGGAGTAACTGAAGAGTTTGAGATCAACGGATACAAGTGCTGTATGACTGGCTGACAGTATTGACTCATGCTCCTTAGAGCATGAAAAAAATTTAGAAATCCATCTGCAAAATGCATTGTGGCAGCAATCATGCAGGGGCAAGAACTGGGTGTGCTGGTAGATTTATTTGATCCAGTATTAAAATAACTGGAGATGGAGAAAGGGTGTGGGCCATGCTAATGTTGTGTTTCTTTGACAGCGTGCACTTGTCCTGGACATTATTCAATCTCACATTCTAGAGCTATTTCCAGGTATTTAAAGTCCATCACTATTAATGGTGTCAAGATGTGCATCATTCTCTGCTTCTCTCAGATGGGGTTCCCTTTTTCTTAGACATATGATGTCATGCAGCATTGGGGTTAGAACTGTAAATTGTTCTTGACTTGTTAGATGTGTCCTCTTCAGTTGTTTAATATGAGTCTTTTCTTTCAGGCTCTTCCTCTGCTCCTAGTGTAAGCTTTGCTTTGAATCTTAAGCCATTAACTACCACTGTTACTGTTGGAGCTGTGACTTCTACAGCTAGTATAACCACAGCAACAACCAGGTGAGTGGGTTTTTTGTAACTGTTTGATATGGGCAAATAGCAATATTAATGTTAGTGTCTGAGGAAGGGGAAATGAGTGCAGATAGTCATGTTTATACCTTTATTTTTTGACCTTGTGCTCTGTACTGTCTCATGCTTCTTCTCAGTGCACCTCCAGTGATGACTTATGCCCAGCTTGAGAGCCTGATAAACAAGTGGAGTCTGGAACTCGAAGATCAAGAGAAACACTTCCTTCATCAAGCTACGCAAGTTAATGCCTGGGATCGGACACTGATAGAGAACGGAGAAAAAGTAAGGTGACCTCTGGTATACCGATCTTTTAAAAATTTAAGTAAGCAAAAACATCAGTGTTACAGAAACAGCAAGCCATCTAGTGGGTCTCTTTGCTTTTTAAAGATAGGATGCGTATCTGTCTTGATTTTTAGGCATCAGAGCTTGAAAATCTGAGTTATGTGAACAAGTTACCTTAGAGTTCAGCCTTCAAAACCAAAGCTTTATTGAATATTCTAGTCTACAAATGTCTACCTGTTTCTAATGTATTTGCGTGGTGCTTATCTTAGTTCCTCCACTCTTTTTTTACCAGATGATCTGATCTCTGAATTTTCCTGGTATCATTATTAAATGTGTGTTGTTTCTAGATTACCTCATTGCACAGAGAAGTAGAGAAAGTGAAGCTTGATCAGAAGAGGTAAGAAACTATGGACACTTGAGATGGTTTTGCTTGCATCTTTTTGTGGTTTTGTATACAAGTCCTAGAATGTATGCTGTGTCTAAACCTGATCTAAATTGTGTTCAGTGGGTAATGTTTCTTTTCTTTTCAGACTGGATCAGGAACTAGACTTTATTCTGTCGCAACAGAAAGAGCTGGAAGACTTACTGACTCCTCTGGAGGAGTCTGTGAAGGAACAGAGTGGGACTATCTACTTGCAGCATGCAGACGAAGAAAGGGAGAGAACGTAAGACGAATGTGCTTTGAACGTGTGATAAGCAGACTAGTGTGGTGATGTTTGCTCAGAAGTAGAGCTGGGGTGCATGACAATATTGAACTATCAATAGCCTTTTTCAAATATGTAATCCTGTTTTATGCATGACAATTTACACATTAGAAATGGAGGAATTGCAATGGGAAGCCCCTTTCATCAGCGTGAAAGCTCTTTGAATGTGGGCCTAACTAGCTGTTTTGGAAAAGGCTACTATTTTTGGCATAATCTATTAAAGTGATTAATGACAGAAGTGATGAGAGCAGAAAGCGCTCTGTGCAGCTCAAGCATCCTTGTAAGCATGTTATAAGTACTGCATCTTAGCAAGGTGAAGTGTTTGGTTCAAGAGGTGTGAATCTTAAACTAACCAGCTGGTTAAGACACTTCAATTCTGGCATTGACCTTTGAGAAAGCCCTTGGTAATATTGCACATCTGTCTCCATAGATTATCATGAGAGGAAAGACATTAGGTGTTGCCTGATCTATGTAATAGAATGCCTGGCACAGTGTACTTTTCATGTATATGCCATGCCTTGGTTGAAAGGCATGAGTGCTAACTTCTGAAGATACTGCAAATGGGAGCAGGTCTTCTGGGGTTCACTGTAAACATTCTGACCTTGGTTTCCATGCATTTTGCAGATATAAACTGGCTGAAAACATAGATGCTCAGTTAAAGCGTATGGCACAGGATCTCAAGGACATCATTGAGCACTTGAATACATCAGGAGGCCCAGCAGACACTAGTGACCCAGTAAGTCCAAGCTTTGTTTGCATGTTGGTAAAGGGACAGAAAATTTTAACAGTTCTAACTCTTCACTTGTCTGTCTGTGGATATGCAGTTTGTGGTTTCAACCTTGGGAAGAGTATTTTATTTTGTCCTCAGGATGGTTCTCTTCTGGTAAAAGTCCTTCTACCATAACACAAACCAGCCTGGCTCTCATAAAATTCCTTTGGAATTTACATTAAGAATTTTCAGAATATCTCATTCTAGTATGAACTCTGGTTACTTTTTTCTTATCTACTTCTTGCCTAGGTAACTTGTTTCAGAGGCAGTTCAGAGTTCTGATCTTGCTGCCTTCTCTGCCACTTGCATCTTTCTTGTGGCAAATGTAAGTTCTGTACAAAATGCCATAGCTGTTGCTGCTTTTTTATTTTCCTACTGTATCCTCAAAAAATGAGATCTGAATTACAAGCTCTTTATTACATAGATTAAATTGATTGTAATACTCCTTATGGTTTTACCGATAAGTTTTCCTTTTTTCTAGTAAAAATTTCCTTCTCAACAGAGTATTGCAGATTCAATTTTTTCCCTTTCAGTTTTATTCTTGAAATGTTGAGACTAATGTGATTAATGTTGCAGTGCATCTGAGGTCTGAAGTGAGTAAGACCAAACCACAGGGATATACTCCAAGCAAATCTGTTTACTTCTCTTTTCCAACAAGACATGGAACATAGTTGCTGCACAGACTTTGGGAAAGTAACTGCTAAGTTAGCATAGCTGTACATGAGAAACTTGACAGCTTCATGTTTCACGGTGCGGGGATAGGCTGTCTTTTGCTGCTGTTTGGTTTTTATGTACTGTAACAAATACCTTGCACCTTCTGTTTCTCTTCAGCTTCAGCAGATCTGTAAAATTTTGAATGCACATATGGATTCATTGCAGTGGATTGACCAGAACTCAGGTGAGAGTCTTCATGCAGCCTTTTAAGAGTAAAAATGTGAAGCATGTAGTGTGTGCGCATGCATGTGCAGAAGTTTCTTGAACAAAAATGAATTCCTGAAGCTCATTGAGGAACCTCTTTCCTGTTGCCTCCAAGTACACTTGTTGCTTCCTTGCTTGAAATCTCCTTCTGATCTATCTGAAAAGGGTGCTACTGAGAAGTGATTCCTGATGCACTGCTAATGTTTCACCAAAAACACTACTTGAAACGTATCAGTACAAAGCAGAGGACTTAACTATTTTCATAGAAGAAGCAATAAGGTTTAAACATGTCATCCTCTGAAATGTTCTTATGTTTCCCTTTGAAATAGGAAAGTTGGATTCTGGGTGTGAGGGGTGTTAGTGTTATCAGCCTCGTGCTGAAAACTGCAGGAAAGCCAAGCTGGGGTAAGATTCTGAGCACCATTCATCTGGCTGCTAGAGTAGTAACTCTTGAGTAATAGTGTGAAAGTGTCACAGCAATAATACCTTGAAAAGATAATGCAGACCAGAAGGTGCACTTCATAGTGAGAAATTGATAGCGTAGTTACTGTTATCCTGGATTCACTCTTCACTAGTATACCAGAATGCTTCCAGGGCTGAATAGTTTATTTAAAAAAAAAAAAAAGGGTGGGGGGACATGTTTCAAGAATTTTACTTGTTTGTTTTTAAGTGATGTTAGCCCCCACAAGGGGGCGTTGTTGGCTAAAGTGCAGCTCTCTCCAACACTGAATTGCAGTCTTCTGGTTGCAGTACTGTCAAAGTACTCATACTGGTGTAATTCATCTTGGATGAAAGTGGGCGCACTTCCATTGATTTGTTTTTAAAATAATATTGGCTTATGTCAGGATTGAATTTGGTCTTTTCTAGAAGATCTGTGCTAACTTCTGTATGCCAAGCATGCATTTCATCATGAAATTGATAGGTGTTATGTCTCCTGTGACATCAGAATTTTGACTCTGCTTACAGAGTGAATTTGAAAATAGCAGTCTTCCAGGTTAACTTTGTTTCTTTTAAGCTTACTGGAAAGGAGAGTGGTTTTTTCTATCAGTCATTTTGTGCTGGAAGTAATTTTTTGTCAGTTAATCTTTTTTGTTACTTTAGTGGGAGCTGTACATCTTCTAAAGAAATGGTTCCGATTCAGTGTGGTAGAGAAAGCCCTTCAGACAAGAAAGAAGTAATAAGCCTCAAATTGCATAGTTTTAAGGGATGGTTATGTGACTCATTGTGTCTATGGGGTTCTTGGCAAGGAGAAGAATTCCTGTTCTATGCACTTAAATGCTACATCGCAAAAGAACGTGCAATTCTGATGTAACTAAAATAGGCTTTGCCATTAGTAATTGAAGAGTACGCCTGGGAAGGATGCATTCCCAGTACTTCTTGATTTAAAAAAAAAGTAAGACATCTGCACTGTACATGAAGTTACAAATTGTTTCCTATGAGACCCCTCCAGGGCTGTTTCACAAAAGCAAATTAGCTTTTTCCAGGCATACATTTCTATTTCACTATTAACTTATTTGACTTCAAGAATTAGATGCAACTTTGGCACTTTAATCAAATTAATGCCAATTTATTTGCTCAGCTTCTCTTATGCCAAACCAATTAAATGGGCTTGCTGAACAGATGCCTGACACTACTCAAGATGGCCATAGTGAAAGGAGGATATGGACAAAGCCTTGTTCTTAAGTTTTGCCTCAACTAGGTGCTCTTTCTTGGTTGTACCTGAGTTTTGAATTAAATGAGACTAGATATGAGATAGCGAAGCAGAGTTATGTCAATCACTTCTGCTAGGTGGATCTTTGAAAACTTCCAAACTGAAAGTGGATATGTTGCTTCGTATATTACTAGAAGATTCTGGGTTTGGCACACTGTGGAAAAAACTTAAACTGGAATATCTCCAAGCTACAGACTGACATAATGCCATAGACCTGTTGAATAACACCTGATAAGGTTCCATGGAATTAAATTACTCTAGTGTATACCAAAAATTCTTTGTTGCAATGGCTACAGTATTTAAAGTTGTTAAACACTTGATTAGCTGCCTTTATATTGCTAAATAAGTGATCTGCAGGTAACGCGTGATCTGTAATGTGACTGCAAGTGATCTGCAGCTCTTTGTGATTGCACTTTTATGTATTTACAGTTAAAAGTCCTAATTGTGACATTCTGCAAGAAAGTATACAGACTTCTAACAGATTGTGGTTAACCTGTGACTTGCTAAATTCAAAACTAATTTAGCATGAGGTGGGTAGGAAAAACTCCAGTACAGCAATTACTCTCTCAAGTTGAAGGCCAGCCACTGTTACTATTCAGGAAGGGTTTGCTCTGCTGTCTAGTGCTGTGTGCTGAAACTGCAAGGGCCTAAAACTAGTTTGGCAAAGTGTCACATCATGCTCCAAGGCTCTACTGAATCTGCCTGCTGGTCCCTGAATGCCAAATACTTTTTGGAACAGTCTTCTCTGCCTTGGAGAGCTAGCAGTGTCTTGTGTTGGGTTTTCCTCTTTCCCTGTGCAAGTAAAAGCTGAGCAAATGTCAAAATTGAAAATGCTTTTTTCCTCCTTCTGCAGGCTAAACTGTGCAGGGTTTTATTTGAGGCTGTTTGGTCACTCTTTTCTTCTCTCCCCCAGCCCTGTTGCAGAGAAAGGTAGAAGAGGTAACAAAGGTTTGTGAGAGTCGCCGCAAGGAGCAAGAGCGCAGTTTTCGAATCACATTCGATTGAAAGACTCAATGGTGTTCGAATATTAACCTGAAATCCTGTCTACATAGAGAACTGAAGTTGGTGGGAACATGGATTTAAAATTGTGATTGGGATTTATTTTCTTTGTTTTGTTTTTTATTTCAGTAAGTCTCTCTGCTTTGTTTTTTATGCCAAAGCTAGTCTTCGTACTGTCTTACTGGAATTCAGTGACTCTGGTCTGACAGACTGCATAAAGGTTCTGCTGAAAGTATGTGCTTTTGTTCTCTAATCTTTTTAAGTGCATGCAAACTGTTACCTTTAAGGGGCTTGAGCTCTATGTAACTTCACAGCTGAGCTTTCCAGCTCTGTTAGGCCTAAATGTAACTTAGATATTTTCAAACAGAATCTCATAAGCTTTTATTCAGGTTCTGATGAGAGAAGGCTGGATGAGCAGCTGTCCTCCCAACAGCTGTAGAAGTCTGACAAATGCAGATACCCAGTATAACAGGCTGGCATATACTGAAAATTGGGCTTGTTTCCTGTTTTTTTGGCAATAAACTGCTCTTTTGCTTGTGCCTTCAAGTGTACCTAAAGCACCTGGATGTAAGCAGGATTTGTGATTAAAAATACCAGATGTGCACATAGAAAAATGGTATTTCTGTTGTGAGTGGTAGTGGAGCTTGTTCAGTTGCAAAGGTGCAGAAAAGGTAGTGAATAAAGTCTGAAGACTCTAAAGAGACATACTAACATCCTCACTTTCTGATTAAAATGTTATTTCAATGCACCTTCCAGTATATTTTTATTAGTACTGGAAAATGAACAATCACTGTTCTTTAGCAGACCTCTCCCACTACTGCCTTCTGCCTTACTCTACATGTAGGCTTCGGCTTCTGCAGCCGCCTCAGTGGAGGCAAGCATGTATTATTCTCCATTTACCTTCTCTCCCCTTCCCCCCCCCACCTTGTCTTATGTCTTGGCCCCTGGAACAAGAGAAGGGGGTCAGTTATTCTCAATGCTCTAGTGATTTGAATGGTGTTCTGTAACTTCCTTCCCTCTCCTGCTGCCCCTAAGGGGGTGGGGCAGGGGCCTTCGAGAAGACGAAAGGCGGCTGGAGCCCCTCCCGCTCCCAAGGGCCAATGGAGCTATTTCGCTACTTAAATGAGTGTGGGTCGTAACTTATTTGCAAGGGGCTCGACTACGAAGCGACCCGGGTGGCCGAGGTGGGGCCGGCGCCCTCAGGGCGGGGCCTTGCGCACTACGCGTCCCGGCAGCCCCC